TTTTGAAGGGAGGCTCAGAAGGCAATCAGGATGATCCCTGCTTCCCTTTGTTATGAAACATTGCACATGGACGGGCCCATCAAGGCTTCCAGCGTCGCTGCAAGGAAGTTCCCATACTGTCTCCAGCCCACGATGAGAAAGCCAGGCTGGGCAACTTGTCAGCTTCCATCAGAGGCTGAAAAGCTTCTGGGTTCCATAAAAGGCTGATAAACATGTCCACGGAGTAACTTTTCAGGGGTTCACCCAGGTATGGCAAGAGATTTGGAAAGCTGCCCTACCCACCGGAGGAGGTACCTATTCATGGCAATTCCATAGAAAGATGATCCAACAGAACGCATCGATTATCCAACCGCATCGCACACAAGTAACTTTCTGCGGAAGGTAGTCATACACCGATGACTGCAGCACATCGATGTGGAACACCAGACATTCGAAGCATATTCAGAGAGAAAGGTGGAACACAGAATGTCATTGATGGTGTCAGATGGACCTTGGCTGAAAGCAGAGAACACCGGAAAGATGTTTACCTGTGTTTCGTGGACTATACAAAAGCACTTGACTATGTGGATCGTACTGAATCATGGACAGGGTTTTAAGGAAAAGGGAATTCCAGACCACTTGATTGTACTCAGGTGGAAACAAGAATACAGACCCAGGGACAGTGGTTTGAACAGAGCAAAGGAAAGATCCAGAAAGGTGTGTGTTGGGATTGTATCCCTTCACCACAGTTACGCAATCTGTGCGCTGAGCAAAGAATTTGAGAACCTGGACTCAGTGAAGAAGAACGCACCACCAGGACCGGAGGAAGACTCGTTTGCAAGCTGAGAGACACATTTGGTGAGCTTGGCATGCTGACGTCAAAGAAGACTAGAAGATCAAAGATTACAGCTCCCAGGAAGCAAATGAAAATATTTTTTAAATTGCCCACGAGCCACTTCATGATCGATGGTGAAATATTGTTGCCAAGGATTTTATTCTTCTTGGGTCCATAGTCAATGCTCATGGAAACAGAAGTCAAGAAATCAAGCAATGTATTGCATTGGGAAAATCTGTGGTAAATGATCTCTTTAAAGTGTTAAAAAGCAATGCTGCCCCTTTAGAGATTCAAGTGCTATATGCATGCCACGTGAATAAGGAATGGATAAAGATGAACAAGGAAGCCCAAAGAAGAACTGATGCCTTAGAATTATGATGTTGGCAAAGAACTTTGGGTCACCATGGACTTCTAAGACAGAAGTCTTAGAAGAAATACAGCCAGAGTACTCTTTAGAAGTTGGGATGGTTGAAGGGATCGCTGAAGACAAATGGGTGCATAAGCAAATGTGGCGAAGAAAGCTGACGGTGCCCGGCTATCAGAAAGTATAGCGTCTGGGGTTTTAAACGCTTGAAGGTAATCAAGCGGCCATCAAGCTCAGAAGCAACAAAGCCCACTTGGAAGAAGCACACTAGCCTATGCAATCACGAGGTGTCAAAGGGATCAGGTATAAGGCATCATCAGAACAAAAAATCTTACCATAGTGAATGATGGGGGGAGTGCGGAGTGGAGACCCAAAGCCCATGAGTAGGCCACTGGAGATCCCCTTGCAGAGGGGTCTCGGGGAGGAGACGAGCCAGTTGGGTGCAGTGTAGCAACGATGAAAAATACAACTTTCCTCTAAATGCTTCCTCCCCGCCCCCACTATCACGATCAGAATTCTACCTTGCAAGTCTGGCTAGACCAGAGGATGTACACTGGTACAGATAGGAACTGGAAACACAGGGAATCCAGGGCGGATGATCCCTTCAGGACCAGTGGTGTGAGTTGCGATGCTGGAAGGGTAGAGGGAGAGTGGGTTGGAAAGAGGGAACCTATTATAAGGAACTATATGTGACCTCCTCCCTGGGGGACGGACAACAGAAAAGTGGGTGAAGGGAGACGTTGGACAGGGAAAGATATGACAAAATAATAATTTATAAATTATCAAGGGCTCATGAGGGAGGGGGGAGCGGGGAGGGAGGGGGAAATGAGGACCTAAAACAACAACAACAACAAAAAAGAAGTTGGAATGGCAAGACTTTGCCTCATGTACTTTGAGTATGTTATCAGGAGGGACTAGTCTCTGGAGAAGCACATCATGCTTGGTAAAGTAGAACATCCATGGAAAACAGGAAGCTCCTCATGGATTGGGCCAACACATACCTTTGCTGCCACATGGATTCAAACAGAGCAATGATTGTGAGGGTGGCACAGCATTGGTGTGCCAGACAGTGTTTCAAGCACATCACATGTATTAACTTTGGGACCTCATAACAGCCCTATAAGGTATGGCTATTATCAATCCCAATTGAAATGTGTGCTCAACAAAGGACTACGATTAAAGGTATTCCGTCATCGTCTGCTAAGTGCAGTAGCTGGAGAGCCCTCACTCCTAATCACTATTTTGAACTTCGACTCACAGGAAGATGGGAAAACGAATGATTTTTTTTTTTAAGAACTACTGTAGAGTAGATGCCAGAAAGCTTGATGTTTACCCCCATCACAGCCAAAGTACTGAGTAAAAATTACTCAGGAAGATAAAGTATGTCTGAAACATAAATTCACAGTCCACAGGTAGGGCCAAGCCAGTGTGATGGAAATCAGAGAAGACACTCCTTCAGTTCCGTGTGGTCTTTCCAGAGGACTTGGTCTTAGCACTGTGTTAAGTTCAGACATTGGTTAGAAACCTGAAGGCCATTCTGAAGAGAGAATGTGGAGGGCAATAATCACGTGCCACTTGCCTCAGAGCTGGGAAAGTCTGAGCGATGTCCGGGTGATTATACAAGCACCTGCTCCTGTGGGTGATTAGCTCTTGTGAAAACATGGAATGTGGGGAAGAAAATGAGGCAGGGTTGCTCCAAACTAGGTGGTGTCAATCAAACCACCTGTTAATCAAAAGTTTGGCAGCTTGTGGGGAAGTTCTGCTCCATCACACGGGGTCTCATTGGGTCAGAACCACCTCAATGGCCACCACCACCACCAAGGACAGTGCCAAGCTAAAGACTGTGAACTTCAGCGTCCAAATACTGGGGAGTTCGTACGATGTATGATTAAGTGAACACCTGGAAATCTAGATGAGTTAAGATCTTTTGCATTTTCTCAGGCACAGGCGCTGCATGCTCAGCATGCTCCGGCCGTGGGCTTGCTTGGGCATCTCTGTTTCAAATGAGACCAACAGAAGGGGCATTGCAAGAGAAGAATCAACTGCCCAGTGGATTGAAGAGAGGAGCTGTTGTCTCTTGCCTCACCAAGAGCACTGTGAGGGGCCCTGTGTTAGGTTGTGTTCTCCAGAGAAACCAAACCAGTGATGCTTGTATGTGTTGTACACTGAAAGATTTATATCAAGAAATGACTTACACAGTGGTAGAAATAGGCAAGTCCAGTCTGGTTCAAGTCAGCCTTCTTCCGAGCCATGAAAGCCGATGAAGAGGAAGCAGGATGGCAAAGTATAAACAGGAGAGTACCGGTTGGTGGATTGAGAGGTCCAAAGTCGGCCAAATGAATCCACCCTCAGTAGTCCCCTGAAGGCTCTAGGGATCGGCAGGTGACATACCAGGAGATCACAGAATCAGACACAAGATCCAGCAGAAGGAGAAGGGCCCAAAAAAGATTCGATCCTCTGCAGTCTCTCTCTCATACCGAAAGACTTATGACATAAAGGAGGTGTCAAAACATAATCTGATATATCATAATGTAACATTCATTAAAGTCTGACTCTTCTTCCTCTTCTAAAAAAGTGTAGGTTCACTGCCAATGAGAGTCACCAGAGAGCAGGTTGCCAGGGTTCTATGTCTAAGGATAAGAATACCCTTCTTGCTCTACCATATTAAAATAGCCCATAACTGGAACCCTGCATGACAGTCTCAAACATATTTATCGGTTGGATCAACCAACTCGAAGCCTCTGCCTTTGTGCCGGACTCTGTGCCAAGGAAGGAAATGGTGGTGGACAAGGCACAGCTGAAAATGTCGAGGAATTTCCTGGTGTCGCATGGGGCGAGAGAAATCACCAGCTGGTTTTCATCTGGTTTGACAAGTGCCATGATAAATCAGTTGACCACGTGTCCCACTTGCCTGGGAGAAACAAGTGGGTAATTTGGATGATAAATTGGTGCTGACCCAGCAATGTGAAGAAGGGTTCCTATACAAAGTGGAGGAACATTTCAGAGGGGCAATGAATGTGGTGTTTGGGGTGGGGTCTCGGGGGATATGTGTCTCCATTGGTATCTATAGGATGAATAGAATACGGGCCACAAAGAGGGCTGGGGGAAAAGAGCTGTGTTGCTGAAGATGGTGTTCTAAGCAGTGATTGTTGGTCGAACAGATTAATTAGTGATCTAATAAGAGAAGGTAGGCACATCAAAAGTTTCAACTCCTGGGGAGGTTTGTATAATTGCTTGATGCTTATGCCTTGCATTCCTTTCTGGTCTTGGAAGGAATATTTTTATAAAGAGTAAAATGTCCCCCTTTTCCTAAAAAAGGTGATTGGATTCGATGATATCGATGCTCCCTTGAACACGGTTCTGCCCCAGGCCCCTCTCATGCAGTCTGCCCAGGAAAGGGGGACAGGATTCCCGAAGCCCCCCGGCCGCCTGTCACCCAGGATGCTCTCTCGCTCATTTAGCTGTGTTCCAGTTATTCCACTGAAGTTGATTCCATTTCTTTCATTTTATTGAGAGCTGCCTGAGGGCGGTGGCTGGGTCTTCTTTTGCCTGGCCCGTTCGGGACACATTGACTGGTGTGGACCCGAGGTGGACAAGTCAGGCGTCCACGTGTTGATTATTTGTTTCCTTATTCTTCTTCTCCTTCTCCTCTTCCCTCTTGTTTGTTTGTATGTGGTGTATGTGTGTATGTGTGTGTGTGTGTATCCCAATCACCCAGTGACCCAGATCTCCAGGCATGCTAACACTGTGCTCACAGCTTTTCTATTTGTGGGGAGGTTCTGACCTTAGTTTTGACGGACACCTTCTTTTCTTCTCCTTCAGGGCCTTCTGAGTTACTGGATATGGCCGACAGTGAAACGTGAGTGTGTCTGTCCTCATGTAGCTCTTGCTTGCTTTCTCCAGCCCCTACCTAGGAGAAGAATGGAGCCACCTACAAGAGGTGACTTCAGTGACCAGGGTTCCACTGTGCCCCTATCAGTGCTGGACTCACCTGATCTGTCCCCAGTGCTGAGTGAGAGGTGATGACAGATAGTGCCACGAGGAGGGCACAGTCACTACTGCCCACCACGTAGCTCTGCCCACAGCCGGGCACTTCTGCACTGCCGCCTCTCAGATGCCTGCAAAGTCTAAATGAATGCCCGACCTTTCCCACTGACCTATGGAAGTCCCCCTGTCTCATCTGGGGGTGGGGTTGGGGGCTCCAGGAAAGGAAGAAACCCTCAGCCCCAAGGCATCCCATCACTGGGCGCATCTTGGAGCATGTTGCGTGCCCCTGGGGAATTGCGGCCGTAGTCATCTCCTGGCCTCTGCGGGTCACGGGAGGAGCCCTGGTGGAGAATGCTGTTGGCTTCAGGATGGTGCCCTAACTAATGACATTTGTTTTCAAACATTCCTGTTCACAAGGCAGCAGGCTAGCACCCAGTTCTCCCATGAGAACAAAGAAATTCTACCTGGTAACCACCCAGAAAGTCACCTAGAGGCCCCCAGGAGGACAGAGATAAGAGCATGGGGATGGGGGTGGCTAAGTAGGTAGGGAAGAGGGAGAGTAAGAATGGGTTCCTGGCAGGCAGTGGGCAAGGAGAGCAGTGGGAGGGCAGAGCTCTGAGGCATCAGACCTGAAAGAACCTATCCTTCACTCTTGCAGCTGGTCCTCCTACCAGCCTGACCTATTGGCAAGGTTGTAAGGTGCCATCCCGGCCCTTGGCTTGCATTTTCTAAAGACCGCATTGGATTTTGCAGGAGACACTGGGCCAGAGTCTTTTCTATGGGACTAAGAAAGGTCATAACCAGGTCCCTGCACCTCAGGGTGGGCGAGGCCTCTTTCCCAAGCCCTTGTCCCCCCTGGATGATGCGTTCTCTGTCGCAGGCCCCCAGTCCCCAGGATGAGTCTTTCGGTCCTGGACTCTGCCCTAGATTGTGCCGTTCCCATATCCCTGTGTCTGTCCTTCCCCGGTGGCCACTCGCAGGGACAGAAAGGTGTCAGCCTGGGTCTGGGAATCGGTCTCCACAGCTGGTACAGCCCTGTCTCTTTGGGAAATCTGTTCTTTTATGCCTGGGGTCTGTGGGTCTTCTATCCCTGTTCACGAAGGCCCCCAAGCTCTGCCCAAATGCAGATCCACTGCTTGCCAGAGCGTATAATGGTGACATCAAGCAACACCTAATCCGAACATTAGTCATCTGCAAAATCACCAAGTCCAGGACTCAGCATGACTTGAAAGAGACTCTGTGATTGGGCACCACAGTTAAGACAACTGTTAACAGTTCATGGCTCACAGCCCGGGGCATGGTGGGAAAAAGGCCTGGTACTGTTTCCCTAAATATTCCAAAACCCAAACCATGGCCAGCGAGTCCATTTCCACTCATCGCAACCTGATAGTCCAGAGGAGAACCACTCCCCCAGGTTTGAGACTGAAGATCCATATGGGAACAGACAGCCTCATCTTTTCCCTGCGAGGCAGCTGGTGGATTTGAACACCGACCTCATAGTCAGCGGCCCAACCTTTAACCCACTGTGCCACGAGGGCCACCAGGAAAGCCTTATGTCACAGGAGAGAGCTCCTGAGTCACAAACGAACAGGACACACAAAACCTACCTCAGATATCACAGGTGCCCCCCTAACCCAAGATCCCTCTAGAACAGCGGTTCTCAACCTGTGGGTTGCGACCCCTTTGGGGGTCAAACAACCGTTTCACAGGGGTCGCCTGATTCATAACAGGGGCAAAATGACAGTGATGAAGTAGCAACAAAAATAATGTTATGGTTGGGGGTCCCCACCACATGAGGAACTGTATGAAAGGGTCCAGGCATCCGGAAGGTGGAGAACCCCTGCCCTAGAACCTCTTCTCTGCCGCTCAAGGTGGAGGCAACCAAGGTCTGGGGCAGACAGAGAGGCAGATCTGCCGGGCCGCCCCCACCCCATCGCCGGTTTCCATTTCCATCTCTGATTTAGGGGCGAGACTGCGCTTCACAAGGCGGCCTGCCAGCGGAACCGGGCAGTGTGCCAGCTCCTGGTGGACGCAGGAGCGGCTCTCAGAAAGACGGACTCCAAGGTAACTGCCCAGCGTGCGCAAGCATCCCCGGCGCCGCCGCCGGCCCCGCGCCTGCGCCCGCGGTGACCACGGAGGCGCCCTTACTGTGTCCATAGCAGTGCCCGGGGCTTTGGGAAAAGGAGGAAAAAATAGAGTGCTTCGTTGAGAGGGACTGCATTGGAAACACATACGTGGAGGGGAGGCTGTGTGTGTTTGCCGCGGCGGCTGTATCCACTCTAACCGTGCCGCCTCAGGAACTTTCCCCTTCCCCTGTGCTGCTGGCCCAGGGGCTGGGGGCTCAAGTCTACCCGGAGGTGCATCAGAAGAAAGTCCCGGCAACCTGGTTGCAAATCAGCACTCTTGCCCCCTGCCACAGCTGGGATCGCCACGAGTGGGAACCGACCCCAGGCTGCCGACTTCCTGGTCCCCGCAGATGGCCAGTGGGAGCTCGGGTCAGTGTCGCGGTTATGAGCGAGACTGCTAACGACCAGGTCAGAAGTTCAAACCACCAGTCGCTCTAAACCCTGAAAGAGTTCGTCTTGGAAACTCACGGGGGGCAATTCTATCCTGCACTGCGGGTCGCTGTGAGCTGGCATCGACTAAATGACTGAGAGTTGGTTTCTTTTTGTTTGTTTTTGATTTGGCAGAGAGCCAATAGAGCGTTTTGGAGAAGTGAAGCCCTATCAGAGATAGGGTCGTGATCAGAGACATTAGACCGGTTATCCAAGAGCGCCTTCAGGCCCCCACCCCCACCCCACATCCTAGCTACTTAATCCAGTAAAGTTTAGATTCTGCAATTTGTGGGACCCCATATTTGGGTCCCAAAGGATTTGCCCATTATTTCACAGAGTTGTGGGCCCTGAGCTCAAAACAATTGCAGTCTTCAGTTGGGTGCCTTTATGTGGTTGAGTTTTGTGTTTTGGTTTTTTAACGGTTTAGTTTCATGCCTTTCTCCCTAGATGAACCTCACAATTTAGACAGAGTGTGGATGAGAATAGCCGTCCTCATTGATGTATGTGGAAACAGAGCCTGCAGAAAGTTAACATGACCTCGTCCACAGAGCTGTGCCCCGCCTCAATCCAGCCGTTGCCATTCCAGTCCAGGGTGGTATGAGCCGGCTCGCTGTATTAGGCAGGGTTCTCCAGAGAAGCAAAACCAGGACACTTGTAATTATATATTAAAGAATATAGCCAGAAAGAGCATAACAGCAAATTCGTCCACACAACAGTACAGAGAGCTCAGTCCATCTCATTTTCGTGGGTCAGTTAATCTACTGAAGGTCCTTCTGACTCCTGGCCCACTAGCCCGAGGCCAAGGAAGCAGATGGCGAGGTACAGAGAAGCAGCAGCACGGCATGGTAAAGCAGGCGACGGTGGCGCCTCACAATGTGGTGGGCTGGAGGTGAGGCGTCTGGAGCGTGGCAAGATGAGCAGAGCCAGCAGCCCACAGGCAGCAGACACGGCAGGGCGGGGTGGAGTTTGGGTATGGAACAGCCCGGTGCAGCAATGCGACCCACTGTGGTCCCTGGGTTGGCTCTGCCAAGTGGGGCAGAGCACTGCACAGCCCACTGAAAGCACAGCACACCGCACAGGGCAGCATGCTGGTTCGACCACCAGGGAGACAGAGAGAACCAGCCTCCAGAAAACCATTTATCTTTGACACACCTCCAAAGGAGGTCATCGCTGCAACCTGATTGACAGGCTGAACCCCTCCCTATCTTCATACAGGTGCCATGTTGGATCATAAAACTTAACTCATAGTAGCTCTCATTATTTGGCAAACACCCCATGGCCTCAACAGGGTGGGCCTTGAGGCAGGGTTTTGCTTGTGGGCTGTAGGGTCTGTTGTGTGGTCTCACAACAACACCTATGGTGACATAGTCTAGCACACTCTTGGTTTCTCCAAAGTAAAGTGATCAACATGTGGCTGCAAAGTGAGTTAATGGTTTAACTGATTGGCATCAGGGCCAGGAATGGTGTCACAGGGGGTAGAGGGGCATCTATGCAGATTCTAATCAGAGAGACCCAACAGATAGAGAGGTGACGTGTCTGGAGAAAGTCTGTTTCAAAGGACAGAGATCATGCTGCAGTGCCGAGATGAGGCAGTGCTGAGAAAGGCTTAATGCGGCTTATACAACACACACACACATACACAGAGGCAGAGAGAGAGAAATTGAGCAGATGAGTGAGCGAGCGAGCGAGCATGAGCCCAACAGCACACCCAGCCCTATCAAGGGAGGGTCTCGGATAAGCTCTGAACATTATAGTCTGCTGGGTAGATGCCAAGATAGGACAGACCACTCAGCTAACTGCAGAGGGGCACAGAAAGGAATTTGATATAGAAAATGGAAACCCTGTAAGCAGATGCTGATTCGTCTGAGTTTGGAACCCAGATAAAGGCCTCTAAAAGCCCACAGAATGGCTTAAGCTCCCTTAGGTGATTCACTGGGTGAGACCTGCCCATGAGCAGTTTGTGCTCCGGGATCGTCTCACACTTGAGCGCAGTGAGACCGTTGTCCCATGTGGATCCCTCGCTCACTCCTGAGACAGCAGCACTGTGGATGCTCCCTTTCTTTGCAACCCACCAGCACCCAGCACTGACCAAGGTCCCTGGCTTCCTCCATTTCTCTTCACCCATCACCACTGAGCCAGTTCTGACACAGAGCGGCCCTGTAGAGGATTCTTGAGGCTGTAAGTCTTTACAGGAGCAGACGGCCTCATCCTCTCACAGAGCAGCTCTCGTAAAGATGTGTACACGTATGTACATGTATATACTGTATAGACACAAACCAAACCCAATACCATCAAGTCCATTATAGTGACCCTATAGGACAGAGAAGACCTGTTCCTTAGAGGTACTGAAGCTAGACATCTTTATGAGAGCTGACAGTCTGATGTTTCTTCTGGGGAGTGGCTGCTAGGTTTGAACCTCCTACATTGCAGTGCGCAGCTCAGTGTTAAATCCACTGTGCGATGCAGGATGCACATCCTTCTGTCTGTCTGTCTGTCTATCTATCTATCTATCTATCTATCTATCTATCTATCTATCTATCATCACTGGGCAGTACAAAAGGCTTGCCCTTAGCTACTACCCAACAGATTGGAGGTTTGAATCCTCTGGAGATGCCACCAGAGAAAGTCCCAGTGCTCTGTCCCCGCAGCAGTTCCATGCTGTCACACAACGGTGACTCGACAGCCGGGCTCTGGTCTGGTTTGGATGCTGCTGCTTTTGTTAATTGCCATCCCTTCACCAACAGGCACACTGATCACTAAGCCTCTCCGTCGTCCAGGCACCTCGGAGTGGGTTCAGATCTCCAGTGTTTTGGTTGGTGGTTCAGCATTTTGTCATTGACACCAGCCAGAAATTTCTTTGTTTGAGGATGTGTTTACTTTCTACCCACGTGCTTGTCAACTGTCTGCCTATAGACAAAACTATAGATGCATACACACACGCACAAGGACATCTATATGTGCATCTAGCTTTATCTATAATTCTGAACAACTGGAACAACTACAGTGTCCAAAAGTAATATAAAATAATAGACCACAAGAAATCATGTGGTCATTTAAAACAGTGATGTAGAAGAATATTTAATGTTGTAGAACAGTTTATGACTTATTATGAAGGGTGAGAGAAGCAATTTTATAATCATATGCAAATAAAGTGGAGTTTTATTTTGATATAGATAAATATAAAAAAATTAAAGAAAAAAAGAAATATAGAAAAAGACAAAATAGTTATACTCCATAGAAGGCTGTGTTCACTTAATTTAGTGGAATATTGGTGATTTATCAATCTTTGTCCTTTTCTATTTTACCAAGGTTTTTTAAAATTACCATCCATCACTATTGTAGTTAAAAAATAATACCCAGGGGGAATGAAACTCAAAATAACTCAGTGCCATCGACTCGATTCTAACTCATAGTGACCCTACTGGACGAAGGAGAACTGCCTCTGTGGGTTTCCCAAACGTAACGTCATGGGACTAGCACACATCATTTCTTCCTGTGGGGCCACTGGTGGTTTTGAACTGCTAACCTTAACATATAACCGACTACTCCTATAAATTGGCGATATTTTATATTTTGTATATTCACTTCTCCCTCTTGTAAGGTCTCGGCTTGAGGCTCCTGAGTTTGGTCTGGTTAGGGAGGTCCTGACCCTGGAACCCCCAGAAATTGCTTCCCTGGTTTGGTGATGTATTTCCCACCTTCGCCCACAAAAGGCTGTGGGCTCCACAGTAACTGTGACCCTGTTTCTTCCTGTGCTGGCAGGTGGATTCTATGGACCCTGATTCCTTAGCGATAAACTCTGCCTGTCCAAAACAATGTGGAGCCCTGGTGGCATAGTGGATTCTGAGCTGTGCTGCAGACAGAAAGATCAGCAGAGCAAAGCCGCCAGCAGGTCCTCTGGAGACGGCAGAGGGGGTCCGTCTGTTCCTTTAAAAGATGCACAGGGCCGTTCTACCCTGTCATGTAGCGTCTCTTAGGAGACAGAATTTACTCGATGGCTGTGAGTTTGGTTTGGGTTTGCCCCAAACGATATTGTCTGTCTTTTTAACTGACCTGCCTTGGAGGTTTGGTATGATGCTGGTGTGAGATTGTGGGTGTAGACTTTGCTGTGGAAGGTCCCTGATATAGTTTATTATGCCAGCCTGGCTGATAAATACAAGTAGGATTAACTGAAGGGCGGAGAGATAATGGCTCAGTGAGCCTCATCTTTCTTGTCTCTTGCTCTTTGATCATCGGACCAGTGTGCGGCTACCTTGCTCGTTCTTTGCCTCAATTTATAGGCTACACTACCTGTTGGACGCCTAGCCTGTGGACTGTGTCTCTGTAAGTTGAGGTCCCTTTAAGGCATCTCTGGAGCTGGGGACTGGCAGTTGGGACTGGTGGTTAGTTGACAGTTGGTGATCTGCCTTGTGATTGGCTGCTGAGCTGAGATAGCCTCACTCTATAAATAGAGGGCGATCTGGCAGCAGAGAGAGGAGAAGGACTGCTAGTCTCTCACAACTCTGAGCCATTTGTAGTCCTTATAATTTAACTGTTCATTTGTTATATTTATCTGTATATAATTTAACAGTTCATTTCTTGTTATATATCTAATTATCTTTATAAATAAATATATTTAATTATCAGCAATTTGGTTTTATCTCTCTATAGAACCCTGTCTAACACAGTCCCTAACCGGAAATATGGAAAGATCCTTCTAGCCAAGCCCTTCTGACCAACCATGCTTCCGTGTGTTCCTTTGGTGTCTCAGCCCACCTGTCGCTCTCTCCTGCAGGGCAAGACTCCTCAAGACAGAGCACAGCAGGCTGGGGACCTGGACCTGGCTGCGTACCTAGAGAGCCATCAGAACTATAAGATCCTTGGCCACGAGGACCTGGAAACAGCCGTTTGACCCTGGCAGACTGGCAGAGAGCACCTGCGTGAGGAGATCACCTACGCCCTCCCGGCCGCCGGGCAGCTCTCCTGGAAGAAGCTGATGGAATCCATACACCTGTCTCTCTCCTGCAAGAATCTCTCTGAGACCGTGCCACCAGTTTAAGGGCTCCCGGGCTGGACCGCAGAATACGATAGCCCACGGAGACTGCGGCAAGATACCTGGAGATGTGGGGGCGGCGGCGGCGCCCTAGAGGTTTGATCCTTACTGCTTCCAGCAAGTAGCATGAACTTCCGTGTTCACCTGTGTAACTTATTTCAGAGATTCAGAGGCTTTCCATAAAATGGCACCGCTCCCTTCTCCCCACCCCCTCCACATGCATCCCTCTTCCCCTCTCCGAACCCTTTCCCTGTCCCACACCTTTTGACTGTTAACTTCCCCCCACTCCACCCCATTTTAAATATGGTATTATCTGTTCTCTTCCCATTTCTATCTTTGGAGACCCTGGGGTTGTCTGAAGGTCATTTGAAGCCCTCCAGATGTCCCACAGAAACAGCGGACACAGGACTCTAAGTCCACTTCCATCTCCAAGACTAAGCCCACGAAGACTCCTTGGGGACTCTTTGCACGCTTTCCCCTCTGCCCCCTCCCCTCCTTTTTCATTATCGAGGAGCTGGGACGTGCCACATGGATCATGTCAACTTGTCACATGCTGTATCGCTGAGGTGCGGTGAGCTGGCTGGGAGTTGTCTGCGGTGCTCTGAGGTACCTCTGAGAGGTCACCCAGGGCCCAGCCCAGGTGGCTGGTAGCTGAGAGGGCCTGGTTCAGCCTGGGCTGAGGACTCAGCTCGGTACTGCCCACGGGTAGTCACCTCTGTCCCGTGCAGGCGTCACCATGAGCAGCGGCTTCAACAAGGGCCGGCGGCTGGTCGGCCAAATGGCTCCGTGCCCAGGGCTGACCGGGCTGAGCCCAGAAGCGTGTGTGGAGGCTGTGGTCACAGGAAGTGGTCGCAGGTAACAGCATGGACGTCCACACGTTTTCCAGCGAGGATGGGAAACACAGCAACTGCAGAAGCAGCCACGTGCCCAAGACCAAGCCATCTTTGCCAAGCTAAAGGGACCCTTGGAGACAGTGATTGGGGCTGGGGGGTGGGGCCGTTCTAGACTCCCGTTACTCCAAGACAGTCTTGTCCCAAGGACAAAGCCTTGTTTCGCGAGCTCCACTGCCAGATTTCCGGAATGCCTGGATCATCCTGTGGACCCCTCCGCGTAGGACTGGGCGGGGAACCACAGTCCTTCCTGATGCCCCCGTAGGCTCCTTTTCCCTGCATGGGGTAGTCTGTCATTGCCCTTTCTACCTTCTCCGCCTCCCCCCCACCACGCCCCGAGGGGCCCTGGCCACGCCTGATCCAGATGCAGCTCAGAAGCTACGTGCCTGGCCCCTCACCTGGACACTCTTGTGAACACAAAATGACCAGAGGGAAACCTCTCTCTCTTTCGGTCCCAGATGCGTGCTCCCCGTGGGGAGGAGGCAGAAACAACAGTGGGTGTCCTGAGCAGGTTGCTGCTGTCGGGCGCTGATGCGCCCAGAGCCAGTGGTCTTCCATGTCACCCTTGGGCACGAGCCAAGCACTTCCCTCTCACCTTTCCGCATGCCAACTCCAGTGGCCATCCCTCCGGGGGCTTGTCATTTAAGAGCCCTGTGTGGGGAGGGAGGCGGGGGACACACTTCTGATTGGAATTCCACCCGGGCTCAGCCCATCATTGGGACAGCATCGGCCATGATAGACTGTACCCAGGAGGAGCGGCCTCTCGGACGCCCAGGTTTTTATCCACCATCGTCTCAAAATCAAGTCGTGGGCGAAAGTTCCAGCTGAGAGGGCAGGGGCTGGCTGGCTGCAAGGAACCTCTTTCCATACGTCAGTCCCAGAAATGGACATGCCTCCTGGAGGCGGTGGTGCAGGAAGCTGGGGCTGCAGTTGATGGATTCCAGAAGTCTGAGGAGGAGGAGGAGGATAAGGAGGGGGCTGCAGGGGAGTCCTTCTGCCAGTTTGCCTGCCCCTCTGCTGGGACATCGGGGAGATGTCACAATGACAGAAACCTAATCCCTGGACCAGACCGGAAGCTGGCTTTGAATGGTGCCTTCCAGCACCATGGAGCCAAACGAGGGGCTCTGTGTTCACCAGTGGGGGCTCAGATTTCTCCGTGCGGGTTTTAGAGCAGCCCCGAGAAAGCTAGGGGTGCAGATGGCCCGGCGCCAACCCAAACAGCTCCACTGCAAGGCCAAGGCAAGCCCCTGGCATGAAAACAGGCGAGGTTCTAACTACTGGAGGGGCCCCTGAGCGCTTGGAAATCATTCCCGCATACCTCCCACCCCCTTCAATAAATATCAAGTCATTAGGGTCCCGTGTTACTAATAGGGGTGATGGATGGCCAAAGGCAAACACTCCCCGGGCCTTGGGCTTTGCAGAAAAAGAGCAGCAATCATGGACAGAACAAGCCCCGCTTTGAGTGGCTGAGACAGTCCATCTACCTCCTGTAACCCTCGTTCTACTTGGTCACTGTGTGTCGTATGCTCCAGGAGTGCTGAATCGGCTTGCCTCCTGTTCTCCAGCCACGGGGCGTCCGAGGAGTTGACTCGCACGTTCAGCTGCTGCTGCTTAGGAATGCCTTTGGCTGGGAAGCTCTTTCTACCCCATTGCCTGGTTCCCTTTCCTCATTGACCCGATGGAAGCCCATGGTCTGGCCTCGGTCTGAACACACACACACAGCGTCCATTGAAAAAGCATCATGATATGTACCCAGAGGAAAGGGTATTTTCTGCAAAACCCGCTGAGACAGCTTTTCAAGTGGTGGCTGGCTTCTCGGGCAGCGTCCCTGCCGCATCGGCCTCGGGACAGCCCTTCCTGCCACACAGCTGTCTGGCTTGGGGTTCCACTCTCAGACCTGGCTATCGGAGGGACGACGAACAGAGTTGTTCCCCAAAGACCCCATCTCAAAACCTTAAAGCCAGGCGCTGCTGCAGCCTGCTACTCTAGTATTGCACTCCCGTGCTGGGGGAGCCGGCTCGCTGTGCGGTATCACATTCAAGCCCTTGAGAAAGGCCAAAGGGCGGGACGCGGCCCTGAGCCACCTGATTGTAGGGCCGCCCTGCTTTTCGCAAACACCTTGATGCATCTTCTCTTTGATGGAAGACCTGCGTTGGCACCTGTTTGTGAGAACTGGAAGACATCCAAAGAGGGCTTTGCCTTTTAGGAGAAGAGCGAACAGTGAAACAACTGAGTAGCGCCCAGGAATGACGTCAGATTCCTTCCCCAGGAACGTGTCATCCAACGTCGCAGCATCCAGCCGCCATCCTGAACGGTGTCAGTGGCGAACGCCCAGTGTTAGCGTGAGTTGAGGTTTTGAGCACTCTTTGCTATGATCTGGCAGGTGACGCTTGGGGCTGAGGATGGTCAAAAATGCCCCCCATGGGATCATGTCTGCACTGGGCATCATTCTGATCTATGAAGTGGTTCCCGGGAACACTCGGTTTTGGGATGATGGGAAACGCCTGTCCTGCCGTGGAGGTGAGAACCTAGAAGCAGTGCGATCTCTGAAGCAGAGGAGCTGACTAGCAGGTTCAGCTGCTGCCGCTTAGGAATGACTGCAGCTGGGATGCTCTTCCTACCCCTGGGCCTTGTTCCCTGTGGGGTCTCCGTCTTTACAGGGACTGTGGTATGAGGTCCTCATCTGGTGATCCATGTGCATCTGAACCTAGTGCCAGTTCCTTTGCCTAAGGGATCATTGCACGGTCTTCACTAGCATCCCCATATCATCCATGTCCAAGGACACGTGGGCGCGCCATGTCGTTCCAGAACAGGTCGCTGTCATTGTAAATGTTTAGACTTTTCCATTGAGTCGATGTTGTTGAGTGCTGTCAAGCCCGCCCTGACTCACAGCAACCCGGTGTAGCACAGAACCACACTCCTCCCAGCCCTGTGCCGTCCTCACGTCATTTGGTGTGCGTCCATTACTGCAGTCACTGGGCCGTCCATCTCCTTGAGGGTCTTCCTTCCCTTTACTGACCCTCTTCTATGCCAAGTACAATGGCTTTCTCCCGGGGCTGGTCCCTCCTGAGGACATGTTCAAAGTATGAGGGATGAGTAGCACATGCTTTGTTCGCTGAAAAAATTTGACTATCATGATGTGTATCAAAATCAGTCGAGATGCCACCTGTGTGGAGGTCCTCTGTCCACCTGGCAGAGTTAAACCTATTAACATGGATGTACGCTGTGGCTTGTATGTTCTCTCAGAAATGCTCCGTGAACTGGAAGAATAACCATAGAGACTTGTATTTATTTGTATCCATAGATATATATGCACTACACATGCATATATTGCACCACACATAGATTTATTGCATAGATTTTTAAAAGAGAAAACACCCTAAAATCATGTGAATCATTTGTATGTGTGTAGTTAGACCTACAGGTAAAAGACATGGCTTTCTAGTCCCACAAGAACTCACAGGGGCAGTTCTACCCTGTCCGATAGGGTTGCCGTGAGTCAGTGTTGACTCCATGGCGGTGTTAGGTAGTTACAGCTACAGGCAAAGATAAATTAAGAGAGAAATGTCACTTATCCTTCGTTGTGTCCAGCATAATTTGGTCTCCTCGCCCCTTACAAGTACACGTGACATTGACCTTGGCTGGTGCCCTAAAACCCACAACCAAGAGGTCTTGGAATTCCTAGTGTTGCCTTCCATGGAACACGGAGCCTGGCCTGAGTCCTTCTTTTCTCGTTGCTGCTGCAACCACTGTATAAGGCAGAGTTTACCAGGCAGACACTCAGACGAATACATAAATAGGGCAAACTGCTGCCAGGAAGGTGGTGGTCACTTGGATGGGGTCTGAGCCGCTTGGCTTCCGGCCAGGCACGGTGACTAATGAAATCACCGAGAACAACATGGTATTTTATCCAGCTGTGTGGTTTAGACATAAAAAATAGATCTTGGCTGAAATGGCGCCTCATAAGCATCAGGCGAAACGACAAATTTCTCCACATCAGCATCTTGGTTTCGTCTTGGAAGACTCTTCAGTTAGCGAGCTCTCTGGCAAACCTGTAACATTTATTCAGCATGAAGTAGCTTCTGCCCAGGACTTGAACGAACCAGCTCAGAATCCCTCCGTTCTCCCCATTCTCTGGACTCTAGGTGTAGTGACTCTAGACCCCGTAGTTCTAGCTCACCCTTCTGACTGGTCTCCCCCTGGCCCCGTGCCTGGCCCAGCCATCGCTCATTCGCAGTTCCTCCGGCCCCTGGCCACGTGGGCAGTCCTGCCCCGCGTCTGCTGCTGCCTCCGTCATCTCCTCATCCCGGTAGCTGTTACCCGTTGCCTTTGAGTTTGTTCCAATTCGTGGTGATTCTGTGCATTATAGAGTGGCCCGCGTCTTCCATAGATAGTCCGCTCAAAATGAATCAAAGTGAAATTAGCCCAGAGGGCAAACGAATGCCTGTTGACCTTGAACATCTGATAGCATCAGGGCACAGCTGATGGCGGGAAGGAATCCCCCAGACGGGTGGTGTTCGTTGCTGTGGAGTAGGATCTGGCTTATGCTGACCTTGCAGATGACAATGAAACATTGCCCACCTTGCGTCATTCTCACTACCTCTCGCTACCGACTGTGTCATAACACAGTTACCCCTCTTGTGTCAATCCACCTCATTGAAGAGTTCCCTCGTTTTCACGGATCGTCTATTTCATGACCTCTCTTTCTAAAGATTGGAGATTTTTGATGGCATGCCTGAAACCAGTGAGCCGAGTCTTTCCTCCTCACTCGTCAGGCACATTCTGGTTGGATTTCGTGGAAGGCTGACTCCTTGGAAGGTGATTGCAGTCTTCTTTGCTAACACTACGGTTATCACACCACGCGGACGCACCATGGCTTCTGTTTTCCCTCCAGTCTAATGATAAAGTCAGCGAGCTTGACTGAGGCGCTAAGTGGCTGTCTCCCACAGCTTCCTTAGAGCCTTAAAATTAGAAACTAGGGGACCAATGGGGTGTCTCTGGACAGCCTACCTCTCTGGACATTTCGCTTCACTGAACTGATAGCAGAGAAAGAAAGTAAAAGACCCTCATTTCTAGGCAGTGGAAATATAATACAACTTAAAATTAAAAATTCAATGTTTTGATGGACAGGTACAGGAGAATTTATACATATATATCTTCAGTCATTTATTTATGCAAACGTATGCTCATTAATCAACTCTCAATGTATTCACTCATTTCTATCTGTTTCACAAGTTCTCACTTACTGTGATACAGACACTGAAATGGGGTATCACAGTGGCTGGAGCACGCTGACCTCTGAACTGTCGGCCGGTAGTCTGGGTGAGAAGTCCCACTCATCCCATCAGCTGAGCAGGACGTGGTCAGCCCCACACAGGAGAAGCCCAGGGTTCCAGCACACAAGTCACGGAAGCTGCATTGCAGGTCAGCCCCAGCTTTGCCAACCACTCCTCAAGCACCATCTTTCACTGCTGCGAAAACCAGGTACTTCAGAAATACATGATGGTGGATTGCGCTTCTGTCTCCTTCGAGTTTCGGTCCTGTGACCAAACAGATTTCAAGGCAAGCCTTCATGATCAGACAGAATCACCCCTGAAGTGGGGGCTGAAATGTGTTCACCCTAGCTCTTAAGGACACACCCAGGACAAGTGAGCAGCATGTGTAGCTGGTTTTGACTCAACGTAAGGAAGGTCAAGTGTAAATATTGCCCAGGAGAGTGGCGTGGGCATTCTTAGGGCATGAGCTATATTCTTTGAGCCATTGAGAACATCTAAAGAGGAGGCAGGGCCGCCCGGAGGGCAGTTCTGGTCAGGAACGTGTACGCACAAGGGACTGGAAGGAGGTCTGTGCTTTTCTGAAAGTTCCTTTGGAGACACTTATTGAGTGCTTGTTCATTTGCACCATTCATTTAAATCTTGATTTTTTTAAAAAATTAAATCATTATATTGGGGGGGCTTGTACAACTCTTATCTCAATCCACACATGCATCCATTGCGTCAAGCAATTTTGTACATTTGTTTCCCTCATCATTCTCAAAACATTTGCTTTCTACTTCTGCCCCTGGTATTCGCTTAAATCTTGATTTTTGTTGTTTTTTGTTTTTATAAATCTTGATTTTTTTAAAAACAGTTCTTTAAAATCATGCTTTTGAAGTGAGAGACTTTAAAGTCTTGTGGGGAATGGCTTTTCGTTATCTCTGAAGATCCTTCGAGCCAAGTTAGGAATCAAGGAGCCAGTGGGTGAGAAGAAGCCACCTGGAGAAGTCCAATCCCCCCACGATGCTCTGGACACGTCATAGGATTCGATGAATATTCTTAGGCGTGCCAGGACAGAGTCATATGAAAAGTCTGCCTCACGTCCAATCTGCAAAATGCCGTGATGTGATGTTCCTAGCATTAAATGTCGCCTAGCATAACCACAGAGGAAAATTCTGCCTGAACGATGTTTGAGAGCCAAGTAAATGCACATGAAAAGCCATCATGGGGAAAAAAGAAAACCTTGCTTATGTTCTCAGCAAGATCCTATCAAGGACCTTCCCATGGAAACAGTAACACCATGATCCTGGCTTTCTCCCTGGTTTCCACCGTCCCAGTATGCTGAGCCAAATGGCATCTGGAATCGAGCCTTCCATCATGGGAACAACTTAAGCTGCCTTGCTGCTCAGCGCTTCAGTCAAACACACCTAAAGCTTTCAGTGTAAGATAACTTAAACCAGCCGTGCAAACCTGTATTATTCATTGGCTCCAATTTCAATACTTTTTTTTAAATGTTAGTGCTCTAGCATTTCAGTGCATTCTTTGATACCCTGGGGTTTTCGTTCGGACCTGTGAGACGGTACGTTTCAGATGAATAGACCAAATCTCAGAGCAATGCATTCGTTTGCACAGACTCACGGCCTTGATGGGGGAAGTGCAGCGAGATTATGTCTCAGGTCTGCAGAAATGCTAGGAAAACTTGTCCACGGAGATGATTTCTAAGTAAGCGAGTTTCTGCTCTTGCCTTCAACATAGATTGCCATCAACCACTCGAATGTCCACAAGGTAGAAGGTGCCCCCATGAAGAACAACAAGAAGTGACTTAGGATTCCACAGAAAGAATTGGTTCGAACTAAGGGAGAAAAAGAAGGAGAAACTCCTAGGTTTTGCTAACAGACAGACATATCAACCTCGGTGTATTTTTAAGGACAGGGGGTGTAGGATGGGCTGGATATTTGGGCCACCAGCATGGCTTTCATAAGAAGAAATGAGCATTCAGGGTGATCCCTTGCCTTCATCTCATTACTGGCACATGGCACCTTAAACGCAAGTGCTAGCCTTTCTCCTCAGAAGTTAGCACCTGCGGCCAAAGGTTATGAATGATTACAGAAAGCTAAGTCCACCTTCAGACCCACTGGTACTGCGTTGATTCCAATTCATTGTTGTTAGTTGCTAGGTGCCATTGTATCCGTTCCGAATCATAACTAAGCTTTGGACAGAACACACCCAGGTACTGTCACCTCCTCATTCCAGTTGTTAAATTGGAGCCTACTGTTGCAGCCCCCAATCCATCTGGTTGAAGACCTTCCTCTTATTCGCTGCCCCTCTACCTTACCAACCATGAGGCCCTTCTCCTTAAACTGGTCTCTCCCGACAACATGGCCAAAGTATGTGCGACGATATCTCACCATCCTTGCCTCTAAGGCGCATTCTGACTGTTCTTCTTCCAAGACAGATGTGTTTGTCCTTGTGGTAGTCCATTGTGCATTCAGTACTGTCCACCAGCACCATAATTCAAACGCATCAACCAACTCATAGCGACCGCATGAAAGTTTCTGAGGTGGTAAATCTCTAAAGGGGAAGATAGCCTCAACTTTATCCCCCGGGGTTACTGGTGGGCTTGAACACCCAACCTTGTGGCTAGCAGTCCAACTTGTAACTGACAGCACCACCAGGACTAGACCACATAAATACGGATGCCGCATAAATATATAGGAAGTTGTGTTGTACTTAGGGAGGTGTTTCTAAAGGGTTCATGGGAAACTTCCATTATCTTTTAATTCCATTTTTCCATGAACATTTTGAAGCCCCCCCACAGAGAGGGACGAACATACAGGACTGAAATATCCTTGGGTTCTTCGTCTCATTGCCCAGAGGGCCACCAGATGGTCGAATCTTACAAGGGGCTTCAAAAGATTCCTGGACAAATAGAGTTTTAAAAGAATGGGATTTTTCCACGAACATTCCTCATATTTACATTGAATGGTGCCTGAAATGCAAAGGAAGGGCTAAGATTAAGAACACAAATGTTCGCGGGAACCAGTCAAGCAGGCCGGTGAGAGGCAAATCCTGCCGGGCGGCCAATTTGGACAAAACATGAGTAGAGATGGGAAAAAGAAGCTATAGAACTTATGGAAGGATTTGCGTTTTCCCAACATGCTAGTGTTTTTCATAAGGACCCCTGCTGGCTGGTGATGTGGGGCCTTAAGCTGCTAACTGCAGGGCGAATGGTTCAAGTCCACTAGGGAGAAAGGCGAGTCTGTCTGCCCCTATAAAGATGTATTAGCTCAGTAACCCTCTATGGGAGTTGACTCAATGGCAGGGGGGGTGGTTTGGCTTGGTTTGTGTTTCTCATAGTTGAAGTTTGAACAACAAGCTCTCGGGTGATGTAGAAGGAATTCCTTAATTTTTGCGGGAACTTGGACTATAAGTCCCCTGTGATATTTTCTAGGTTTAGATTTCTATGATCTTTAGAGTGGGACAGAACTGAATTCGAACCCTTTTCTAGCTTCCTGGCAGATAGACACCCATTAAAAGATCTTTATAATAAAGACAGTCATTCGTCATTTCTCCCAAATCATTTGGAAACAAGTTTTGTGAACTTACACGTTTACCTTGCTACACACACACACACACACACACACACTTTGCCAATTCCTAGCCAATCCTCAAATCTACGTAACATTTCTATTAGGCAAAGCCATCATGATTTCAAATGAAAACAAAAGATCTGTAGCCCCTTTTTCTTAAGAATTACTTTTTTGTTGTTGTCACTTGTGGTGGGTGGTGTGGAATTAGGCAGGGACACGGAGCAGGGCCTGAGACATCCCCAAGCGGGGCCTCACCTCATGCCACTGGCTAACGTTTCTGCAGTCGTTCCGTCTCGGTGGTGGTTAGTTGCTGTCGAGTTGGCTCTGCCTCATGGTGACCTTGCGTACATCAGCACCAAATGTGGCCTGGTCCTCAGCCTTGCCCACCGCCTTTGGTGCTCTTGAGCCCATTGTCGAAGCTATTGCGTCAAGCCGTCTGACTGAAGGGGCTCCTCACTTTTGCTGACCCGCCAGTTTACCCAACGTGATGCCCTCCCCTAGCGATGGGTCTTTCTGGATGACATATCCAAAGGAAACAAGATGAAGTCCCGCCCTCCTCCCCCCTAAAGAGCACTCTGGTGGGAGATCTTCCGAGACTGACGTATTTGTTCTTCTGGCAGCCTGTGAACTAGTTAATATACTTTGCCAATACAAGATGTTGTTCATTTTTCTCTATTCTTAATCCGAATTCCTAGATTCCAAGTTGCCTGGGGTAGGGGAGGAAGTCACTCTGGAGAGAGCCTTGAGAAATGGGCCTTTCTCTGGGTCTTGCTCGGAGAACCCCACTTCGTCTCCCCCCCCCACCCCCCGACTCCCGATACTCGGCTTCGGAAGGAAAAGGAGAAGCAGAGACATGGGAAAAGGAGGCCCCATGTCTCAAAATTAGTACCATCGTAAAGCCCTGTTCTTAACACTAGTTCTTATGGCAACTCACAGATAAAGAAGACGTGTCCTGACTGAACCTTGAGGCTCATGAAAATTAAACTGGAAAAGCACAGGAGGAAAAAATGGTCAAGTATCATGCTCATGAAGAAGACTTTGAGGAGTCTCCGCAAGGCCATTTACAACCTAGATCAGCGGTTCTCAACCTGGGGTCGCAACCCTTTTGGGGGTCGAACGGCCCTTTCACAGGGGTCGCCCAATTTCTAACAGTAGCAAAATGACAGTTTTGAAGTAGCAATGAAAATAATTTTATGGTTGGGGGGTGACCACAACACGAACTGTATGAAGGAGTTGAGGGATTAGGAAGGCTGAGAACCACTGGTTTAGACAGAGCAGAAGACTTGTAGTATGTGTGGAAGTGAGAGAAAATGGTTCCACTGGATAGAAAGAACTTCCTAATAGAGCCCTTTAAAGGAAGGCGCTGATGTTTGAAGGGAAGGTGCTTCCCCACATGCTCATGGGAGATCAGACCTCTCTATATTGGTCCATGATAAAATTTTGGAAAAGCCAGTGATAATTTAGGGAGCTTATAATATACCCAAGTACACTCACTCCGTAAGAAAAATTCAGACACTAAGATGTTCCTGGTTGGGGATTTAAATATAACTTTAAAAAAAAAGAATAATGGCATAAGAGATGCATAAAATGGTCTTATAAAACGTACCCTAACTAAGTTGGTTCACCCTCTCGTGTTTGTTTCAGGTTTGTGGGTAGTTCTGTCAAAGACATTGGTGAGATGTGTCACTTCCAGAGTACCTTTTAGCTTGGCAATGTGCTGCACCGACTACCTTGGATCCAAATGCTTCCCCGCCTTTGGGGGTGTTATTCATAGTACAACTGATCACACAGTCACTCGTGGGAGTTCCTGGAACTCGGAACACACAAGCCTACGTCCTAAGACACGAGAATTCACATCGGATGCTTTTTTTCTGAATCATTTTATTAGGGGCTCATACAACTCTTTTCACAATCCATACATACATCAACTGTGTCCAGCACATTCGTACATATGTTGCCATCATCATTCTGATGCTTTTTAACATGTGAGCTGTGCGTGGGGGAAGCAGGGGGTGTTGCCGTCCTGGGGACTGAAGCTTGGATACCGTTATAGACAAAATATTCTAGGGCCGTAGACTATTTTGTGAAACACATCTTTGGGAGGCCCAAGTCTCAGAAGAGGTGAGCCT